TATGGACTGCTTTTTTTGGTATTTTACAGCCTGACAACTGTAGAAAAACCTAAAGAGACACAGACACCTGCAGAGAAATGCTCAGAGACACAAGCTGCTAAAACCGCACCACTGAGTAATCCAATAATGGTAAGTGTCCAGGTAGCCTCACCATGTGGTTTGAATCAAACCTATTAGTAATTTATTGAATCCAAAATGGGTAAAAAAAAAAAAAAAATAGACTTGTGCTGCTTTTTTTGAGTACATTTTATTTTGATAGCAGAATATTCAGATAATATAATTATAATATATTATGTATAATTATATATGTTGTTGAGTCTAGGGAGACCAACTTAGTGGCACAATTTGTGGACACTGCTGAGCTGTTTTACCATGATTTAATTTTTATGGTAAAAACTCTGATTGTGGCCAGTGTAGTTTTTACTGTGTATTCAATAGTTAACACTATTAAAAAAATTACTGTTTTGAAATGAAAAAAAAAAAAAAAATGCCACAATCAGTCATTTTTTTTTTATAGTGTTAACTATTGAATACCCAGTAAAAACTTCACTAGCTGTTTTACCATGATTTCATTTTTATTTTTAAAAGCTCTTATTGTGGCTAGTGTAGTTTTTACTGGGTATTCAATAGTTAACACTTAAAAAAATGACGTTAAAAAACCTCACCTGGCTTGTGGATTGTACAGAAGCACACATATGGAACTGTTGCGCTCTATTGCATCAGCTCTTCAGTACTTTGTAATTGGTTCACTCTTTAACAGCAGATGTATATTACAGTTCAAAAGTTTGGGTTCAATAATATTATTATTATTTAATGAAAGAAATTAATACTTTTATTCAGCCAAGATGGATTAAATTGATCAAAGGTGACAGTAACACGTATAATTTTTCGAATTTCGAATAAATGCTGTTCTTTTGAACTTTGTTCATCAAAAAATCCTGAAAAATGTATCACGGTTTCCACAAAAATATTAAGCAGCACAGTTTTCAATATTGGTAATAATAATAATACTAATAATAAATGTTTCTTGAGTACCAAATCAGCATATTAGTGCATATGAGTAAGACTGAAGACTGGCTGCTGAAAATTCAGCTGTGTCATCACAGGAATAAATAATATTTTAAAATAGAAAACGGTTATTTTAAATTATATCAATATTTTACAATATTACTATTATTGCTGCATTTTTTATTAAATAAATGCAGCCTTGCTGAGCATTAGAGACTTCTTTTGATAAAAGATCCTGTTCATCATGTCCTTTAATGCATGCAGGTGGTTTAAAGCCCCTTGTCATGCTACATTTTGGTTACAAAGATTGACATTATGATTTACATTTGACAATGCAATGATGCATAATCAATAATCTAAATTGATTAATTTATTATGTTTAACCAGGAGCCCCGCAAGCCGAGCTATGCAGAGATCTGTCAGAGGATAAGGGAGGCACCAACACAGCAGCCATCAGCAGATCCCCGGCCTCTCAGCTCCACCGCTGAAGACATCAAGACTTCTGACTCGGCAGAACGCAGATGCAGAGAATCGGCACCCGCACCTGCCAAATCTGCGGCGACAGCTTGTCCCAGAGAGACAGTGAAACCTCATCAGAGCACCGGAGAACGAGCAAGCGGCTGCACGACGGCTTCCTTCCACCAATCCTGAGGGCCTTGGTTTTGTTTCCAGGACCGAACGGGAACGCAAACTTTGTCAGGGCTGTTCAAAAAAAACAACAAAAAAAAGTCCCTCTTATCTCACAGTCCACTGTGAGCACACACAGACAGACAGACAGCTTGTCACTGGAATCAGGGCCTACAAAAGCACTTGTGCATAAGGGTTCTCTGAATATTTTTGTTGTCCTTTGTCGTTTTATTTTTTCAACTCTTTTGGTGTTTTCCAAGGAAAATGGGATTATTGAACCAGCATCAGTTGGAGATGGACTATTTAAAAACATTTGTCAGAGCTCACATTTATTTTAGGGTTACAACTTCAAGTAGTGCTGTTGGGAGGAAATAGTGATTTTTGGATAGTGCTGATCCTGAAACACTTTATTTTTGTGTGTTTTCTTTCCTTTTTTTTTAACTGATATGTATATAATTTTGCTAACCTTGAGTGTCTTGACACGATTCCGAATCCCGACAGCCCCAGCCATTACAACTGCATGAGTGAGACGTTCGTGTAAATCGGTTTTGTTCCGTTTTTATGTTTGGATGTTCTAGCACTGGAGTGACTTATTTTTTTTTTTGGAGCTCTGAATTATTTTTTTTACATGCTAATCCTCTATCAAATTGTACTGATGTGATATTGCAGCAGGTGTATGTATACCTGTTCTTGTGTGCATGCTTTCTTTTATGTTGTTCTTCTTTTCTTTTTAACCTTTTAATGGAACACATTGGTTTCCTCTATAATTTCTTTTCTGTTTTTCCCTACTCGCCAATAGTTTGAGAAGAATCCGCTCTGATGCCTCTTCATTTGATTCTGGAAGATCTTCACACTGCAAAGTCCTCAGGTTGCGAGGGTGAAGTATTCATGTGCCTAGTCTGCCGTGATCTAAATGATAGATGGCTATATTATTTGCTTCTTAGCTTCGTTTGCTATCCCAGTGTGGTGCTATGGTTCGTCACATGGTTACTTTGGTGCTTTTATCTATAGAAACGAAGGGAAAGACACTGACATGCACCAACGTCTATCGTATAACCTTCTCCGATTCGCTTTCATATCACCACAACTATATGAGTGGGATTGTGTACATTTTAGATAGCGACGTATACATCAAGAGCAAAAAGATCTGAGCCTTCAGCACACACGGACCAGCGCTGTTTTGTGGGGTTTCTCCTTTATGCAGACTTTGCATTTCAGTGTCACTCTCGGTCATGCTGTTCATTAGTTAAGTTCATTGGTTCTCATTTGAGTTTGAAATAGTCTTGGGCTGAGCGAGAAGTCTTTTTTTTTTTTTTTTTTTAATGTCTTCCTGCAGTGTGGAGCACGTGCAGAATGCTTTGAGATATTGTCATGACGTCTGTTGTTTATATTCTCTTGTATCTTCCCTGTGAGTATTTTATAATTTTGTTGATTTTTCTGACTTTCTGAATGCAACTGATCATTTTTCCATCAATAAATGAAGCATACCATGGTTAAAGTAATGAAGGTTTCATTACATAAACCTTTAAGATGTTAAAAAAAAAAGCAGCAAACTTAAAAAGAAACATCACATATAAATTAACAGTGTTTGAAAACTTGAATTTTATTTAAACTTGGAAAAAAAAATGTTTCTGCCTTAACTTTTTAGATGACAGTTTGGAGTTTTGTTTTGTTTGTTGTTTTCTTTCTTTCAATTCCCAAAGTGTATAAAAAAGGATGATGTGGTTGAGGTATCACAAAGCCTTCGTCCGTACATTTGTGTAGCACAATACTTTTGGGATTGAGATGGGATTATCGTTTTGTTTTGTTCTCCTCCGTGTAAATGCTTGTAGTCTAAACTGTAGTACATGTATACACTCGTATGTGTGTGCTTTCTCTGTACAGATGTAAATAATTGGAAAATGTTAAAATGGTACCCTAAAATTGGTTATGAGAAAATGTATGGAAAAAAAATAAATAAATGTTAATGAGAAATTGTATGTTTGTTAAGTAGGCTTGGTTTGTTTCACTTAGGTCATGTTTTTATTCTCAATGTTTGCATAATCTTGTGGTCACCAGTATGACCACAAGGTGGCATAATATAAGTGGTAATACTTTATGGAGATCATTGTGTTTAAGGCTAAACACAAATCCAGTAGGCCTATCAGCACAAGAATAAAAGAGATCTTCAGGTCTTCAACTGTTAATTTAAGTACAGTCTGAACTCCTGACCATTTGAAGTATTAATGCAGAATGATCAGTATATAAATAAAATTCTATTACAAGTTATATTATCAGCAAAACAATTTGAGCCAAACATACTGAAAATGCATATGAATTTCTTAGTATTTGGTTTGTTCCCTTTTTGCTTTATTTGACAACAGCACTCAAGCTTCATAGTTTGTGTAAAACTTGATATTATCCAGCATCTTGTGCTTCAACTGAAGCAAGAACATCTGACCATCTTTGCAGAGTCATGTGATAAATGTCATAAATTTGTCTGATTGGTGACCTAAAAATAGTGTAGATTTCTTACATATTTCTTCTTCATTTGACATCATTTCACATTGTAAAATGGTTTTTAAAAATATTTAAAACTTTATTACAAGATGTAGATTAAAAAAATTCCAGATTTTCAATGTGATCTCAACCATTAAGACATTATTTCCTATATATCTGTTGAATACAGAACAATTATTGCTATATACACTACCGTTCAAAAGTTTGGGGTTGGTAAGATTTTTTAATATGATTTATAATATTTATTTTATTTTGAAGTCTCTAATGCTCTCTAAGACCGCATTTACTTGATCAAAAATACAGTGAAATATTAAATATTTTTTTAATTACATTTTTCAAATGTAAAGTATTGTAGTAAATGTAAAAATACAACTCAAAAGTCCCTGTTTTTATTTGAATATATATAAAATAATTTATTCTTGTGATGACAAAGCTGAATTTTCAGCAGCCATTACTTAAGCCATAAGTCTTAGGAGTCACACGATCCTTCAGAAATCATTCTAGTATGCTGATTTGGTGCTCAAGAAACATTATCTATGCTGAAAACAGTTGCTTAATATTTTTGTGAAGACACATTTTTTTAATGTACCGTCACTTTTGATCAATTTAAATCCAAACGGATTCATTTTATTTAGCATATTTTATACGTACTTTCATTTGAATTCAAGTTTATTTATATAAATATGTATTACATAAATGTAACCTGAACAGGTATTTCTCATTGTGAAATGATTATTTATGGAAACATAAACAGAGTCGTTCTGTCGCCCCCTCGCGGCTGTAAAATCACACTCGCCTTGCGTCATGAGAGAGTGACCGAGAGAAAGAGGGAGAGGGGTTGGAGAGACGCGCGCACACACATACTCACCGCGAGCTTCACCGCACTGACAGTCCACATATTACACTACTGACTCTAACGGCGGAGACCTTCAGATATGGCGGGGCTTCGTTGAGAGGGACAGAAAATCTCCGAACACTACCGTTCACCGAACAGTTTGTAATTGGACACGCGTCTCCCGCAGCCCTCCTTATGCACCGCTGCGACGCGGAGAAACGGCAGCAGCGCTGAAAGAGTCGAAGGAAGAGGACGAGAGTGATTTTTACCCCCTTGAACGGACAATGGCGGACCGCGATGCGCTGCCCCTTCCATTGGAATTGCGGGCCAGATTGGCTGAGCTGGAGCTGGAGTTATCCGAAGGTATGATTGACATTTTAAATGACTTATTTCTTTCGACAATACGGTTGTTGCGGGGGATACGTTAACGGCCCCTCCTCTCCTCCTCCTCTCACCACAAAACCCACCACCATACCAACACAACCAGCACCAGATGTTGGAGCCAATTATTATCCCCGCAGCAGCACTGAGGTTGTGTTCGTAAAGGCGTTCGTTTGCTTGTTGTAACTCCCGCCTCATTTTCTTTGTTACAATGTATCTATTTGACCTTGAGGAAACCATTCAAAGACTTAAGATATGTATTTTTTTCCGTTAGGATTTTGAAAATGCGTTTCCCTATAGAGACCAACGGTCAAAATACCGCCATACCGCCGTGGAATCTTCATGTACCCGCTGATATTTTTGAATTTCTCTGGCTGTGTTGTTATTTATGCCAGTATAATGTCAGTTAGGTAAACGAGCAGTTCCCCACAATTGCATCGCCATGCCATCTTTACACTGCAAAAGCTGTTCCTGAAGCTGCATTTATACCACAAAAAGATGCTCAGACACAGGATATTCTTTTAGATATAATTGTTAGATATTAATATGAATGGAATTGAGGTTTTAATTTGAATATAGAGACATGATGGATGTATGATAATATGAATGATAAACATATGCTCTTAACATGACATCAACAAAGTTTAATGCTGTCTGAAGCTACATCCATGTTATTTTTTCATGACTTATACAGTTTATTTTTATGTTTAGATACTGAATAATCCCGAGCAGACTTTTATAGTTTTCTATTTCCATTTATACTTTTTGATTAGATTTTTTTATTACTGCATTTCAAACATAAAAGACAGATAATGCAAATATATAGGATTTTTTCCCTAACTTTTGACACAATAATATCTAAATAACTATTGGACTACAACAGTAAAAACACAATTTACAAATATAAATTTAAATTAACAAATATTTAAATGAGTATAATAGTGTGTAATATTGCATGTAATATTCATGCATGTTTATTCATAAATATTTGGGGAAAAAAATACTGGTTTGAGATGGGGTGATAATTGTTTGTTGATTGATACGTGGAACTTCATTGGTTATTGGATGTTTAACGTTGGGTCTACCAATAAATTGTATTAGTTAGGAGGAACAACGTAATGTTATCAGTCATAAAAAATTAGAATTGGCCAAACTGATTATTGGTAGCTCAAAGCTGGTAATTTTATTAAGGCTTTTATGCAGCATTGTGTGCTTTGCACATCATTTGGAGTCGGACAGAACAGTATCATGTATCATGTTGAGAATCTTGGCATCTTGACATAAGCAAACCGAACTGAGTGAACCGTTTGCTAATGTTGCTTTTAATTCTAGTGCCTGGTGGTCCTTTGTAATGTGCGTTTGTGTGTGTGTGGCGTGTTTGATCGTCTGCTGTGTGTAGATCTAAACCATTTAAGGCGATAAGTGCTTGTGCATTTGTTAATCCTGCCTCAAAGTTCCAGTAGACAGCAAGCCTGTATTTCCAAACCATCCTAAACATGCTGCACCAACCTGTGTAGCGAAAAACAGCATAATTTTATACCTAACTAATTACAGTCAGTGGGTTTACTGGGTAGGTAGATCACAAATATTCTTTGTTTAATATTAAATTTGTCTTACAGAAAGCATTATGGGTTCTAAACTGTCTTGTTACATGCTAAGATTTAGTGTATCATTAAAGGGGTCATATGATGCTACACATTTGGGCGGCATTATGCTAATATTTCCACATAGTGACGTAGACATGTGGGGGCGTGTTAGAATGAGCCGTTTTAGGTAGGTGTGATTGACTCTTAACTTTTATAAAGAATATCTCTTTGGATTTGAGACTTTAGTCTTTGCAACTTTACAGATATTCTTTATGCACCAAGAGCTTGTAACACTCCAAAGAGAAAGGAAAACTTGAAATCGCATCATATGACCCCTTTAACCAAAATGGTTAGATTACAAGCCTGATTAAAACATCTTAAACAAGCTTAATTTAGTTAGCTGGTTTTAGAGGAGTTTTGGGAGCTGTCTGGCTGAGAGACCAGAAGACCAGTATAGCTAGGCCTGAAGACCAGCTTAAACCAGCTGAAACTAGCTTAGAATAGCAGACAAGGCTGTTTTAAACGAGCATTTTCAGCTGGTAAGTTAATAAAACAGACATTTGTGAAAATTAGTCACATTTGCCTGAGGAGGTAGCCATAGCAACAGCTGCACGAGTGTTTAGTATGGGATGGTACTTCGATAAAACAAAAGTCATGCCATTATTTGTCACTTTGGTATAAAATTTACATAACAAGTATGTCCAAAATGGTACACGTTTAGTTCATGGTTTGTGCAAAAGTCATTGAATAATTCACACACTCCAAGTAGAGCATGTAAACATAAGCATGTAAGCCAGCACCTTTTATTTATGGAAGCAATTTTTATTTGATTTTTGAATGTATTATTTCTATTTTTGTAGTTATAAATGGCTCTAGAATGGCAGTGTGTGTTATTTTGAATGTTCAAATGGCAAACACCCCCTTGCAAGTGGACACGAGTATTTTTAGCCGCCCTTCAAGCTTCGCTAGCCTTAATCAGCTCATTTTGCATTTAAACGTTTTGCCTCACTTTATGATTGCGGTGGAGGGAATATTCTGGCTTTCTGCAGCCCTGTATCATTCTTCTGAAACTTAGCTTGTGTGTGTTTGCCTTTGTAGAAATAAGATGCTCCCTTGCCATTCCAGCTTAGCTTCTGGTGCTGTTTAGCACTGCACTCATGGAGAGGTGATTATCTCAGTGTGTTGGCACAGGATGAAAGGCCTGGAAATTACCGAACGTCTGCTCATCAGAAAGATTTGCGTCTGTGTACTGACCTATAATGCCCTTAAGGGCAATAATGTGCATGTAAAGTTTGCATACAATGTAACGAACTTGTTGTGCATTTCGCTGCCTCCATTTATAAGTCAAATAAGGTTTATTTTTGAGGTTTTATTTATGCCATGCATCTTGTGAGGCTTGTTTGCATTGACTTTGATTTACATGGCTTGGAAATCATCCCCAGATTTCTCTTCAGTGGTCTTCTGTCTATGCTGGCAGACTATACTGATTCTTCAAACTGAGTATTAGTCTTGTTCATGCCAAATAAAGGATGAATGGATCTCATTTCACCCTCAGGGTAACACTGTTAGTAAGTGAAAAGGTTAAGTTGTTAAACAGGGGTCATGCTGGCTGTGGAAGAAAAGAACCCCTATGTGACCCTGATTTGAGGCCTTGCCTGTTGAGAATGTCAGCATAAATGACTGTATCTGTATGTGAAGATGCTTTATAATGTTTTATGTGTTGATTTCATTTTGCACCTTTGACGAGAGGCGCGCACTCTTTATTATGCAGCACAAACGTCAGCAGTGTGGAAGCATTTAAACTGTCGGAGACAGACGTAAAAATCATTACAAGCACTGACAGCGAGAGACTTGTTTAGGACTGCATCGCATGTCTTCAATGAGAAGAGGAAGGGGTGATTGTTGCTGGTTACTGTATGATGATTGAAATCGCGAAATGGCCTTAAACAATTAGTAAATAAACTGCAGAACGTTATGTTTTCTAATACACGCGCGCATTGCATGTATTCTGACAGCGCTGCATGAACTCGCAGCAGATCTGCTTGTTAACCAGGGTTCAAAGTCCAAAGCGCGAGGAAAATTTGCGCTGATACAGTCGTCAGTTGCTCAGTCATATTTTTATGAATTTTTACAAGGCATGTGACAATACGATACGTACGACGTATTCGTAATGTGACTCATTTATAAATCTGTTGTAAGAAGTCTCTTCTCAGCAAGGCTGCTTTTAATTGTACAGTAAAAGAAAATAAATAAATAAATAAATAAAAATACATGCCTGATTCAAGAAGGCCCAGTGTTTAATTTTGTTCGGTTTCGGCTTCGGCCAAGAATTTTCATTTCGGTGCATCCCTATTTGATGTCAGTATTCACAGATTTATGTAATATAGGAATGTTTAGACTTTTTTTAATCACAAAGAACTTTCTCCAAAGAACCAATTTTTCTTCACAGAAATAGTAGAAATAGTTTGAGTATCAGGTAGTATTAGTATAAGTAATATATGTATGTGTGTGTATTTATGTATTTACACACACACACTAGCGTTCAGAAGTTTGGGGTCATTAATTTTTTTTATTTAAAGAAATGTAAAATTAGGCTATTCAGCAAAGATGAATTGATCAAAAGCGACAGTAAATACTTTTAATGTCACAATAGATTTCTATTTCAAATTAATGCTGTTCTTTTGATGAAATTCATCAAAGAATCCTGGAAAAATGTGTCATGAATTTCATAAAAATATAAAGCAGCACAACTGTTTTAACATTGATAATAATAAGAAATGTTTATTGATAGGGATGCACCGATACCGATACTGGAGTATTTAGTGTTGCTGTATGGCAAATAAAGAAGAAGCGAGAGGAAGTGATGGAATGTTGTGAGGTATGTGAGGGGCTCTGATGAGAGCTGACAGGGGCTGTGCGGTGCAAGATAGCGGTGCCGAGGTTGTGTCACTGCCAGTCACCTGTGCTTGGACATGGGGAGATCATGACATTTGCTAAATGCCATAAATTATTTCGTAAGCTGTGCCAGACAGACAGCATCTCACTGCTTTACCTGCAGTTTTAATTTTATATTTGTTTTTGCTAGTGATTGGTTGATTTTGTGAAGATTTAGTAAGGAATGTATGGTTTGTTTACCTATGTAATTTATTAACAGATGACTAACATCATTTCCTCTCTCTGTCTCTTTAGTCTCTGTGGGCAAATACCACGAGTCCCGGTTTTCCCCCACTCCCAGTATTCCATAGAAAAATTAATATTAAACAGCACTTCCCTGTTCACGGCAGCACGCCAGTGTTTTCTTTTCTTTTCCTTGTACGTCTCACTTCCTTATGATCCAAATGTAGGTTAATGAATTAAAACATGCTTTTTGCCTCTTTACCTCTCCCTACACTAAGG